ATTGCAACTTGCAGCCAAAATACATTAAGAGTGATATCGCTTTACATCTTTCCTATGAATTAGTACAGATTTGAAAAAGAAGGTCTAAGTATGCGGCGATAGTAGTTTAACAGAATCTGCTCTAACGTCTCCAGTAGCTGTTAGTTTCAGAAGTCAGTTTATAACATCCTTCCTATTCATTTGGGTTCTATTATTTTGAAGCTCTTTTCTTATCTGCTCATGAGATCACCAGGATAGACACCTGTAATCATTTAACTTTGTCTGTATTCAGCATTTTGTATATGTAAATGATCCCATTATGTCCAATACAAATGTATTTAACCATGGCCCTTCGGAATCACAAACTTAAATATATTTTTCCCTTATTTTACATAGAGGTGAGTTTAGGAATATCCCTTCTCTGATTTCTTTTTTTTGCCTATTATTAGGCCACTGATATATCAAAAATCACAATAACTATGTATAAAGGGAGCAAATAGGATCCATTAGATTTTTTTTAATGTATTTATGTATTTTTGGCCGTGCTGGGTCTTTATTGCTTGTGCAGGCTTTCTCTGTTTGAGATGAGCAGGGGCTCCTCTTCAGTGTGAGCAGTGTGTGAGCCTCTCTTCAGAGGCAGTGTGTGAGCCTCTCATTGTGGTGGCCTCGCTTCTTGCGGAGCACAGGCTCTAGATACACAGGCTTCAGTAGTTGGGGCACGTGAGCCCTAGAGCTCGGGCTCTGTAGTTGCAGTAGACGGGCTGAGTTGCTCCATGCCATGGCATGGGGAATCGTCTTGGAGCAGGCATCAAACCCACGTCGCCTGCACTGGCAGGTAAATTCTTATCCACTGTGCCACCAGCGAAGTCCAGGATCCATTAGATTTTACCCCACTGTCTTGTTTTGTTTTTTAAAGTGTAGAGTTTCTCAACACCAATTTAAATGAGACTTTGATTTAGTAACTCATCAAGGGTTGGATAAAATTTCAATTGAGTAATGCTAATATAGAAGTTGGAGCCAGGCCAACATGATTTGAGTGTCAAGGGACCACACGTAATTATTATGACCTGACCAGAGATATCAAGCCTTGTCTTTTTAAACCATCTAAAGTGAAGGCGGAAACATGCCAAGGAGAGAAAAGTTATGCCAGTTTGGCCTTACATGCCCTAAACTTGCTGTCTGGGTTGAGTCAATGGAAAGAACATGGGCTTTGTAGACAAACCTTAGATTGAATTCTGGCTGTTGCATTTATAACCTTGAGGCCTTGAGCATTTTACTTAACCTCTCTGAGTCTCAGTTTCCTTTCCATAAAGCAGGGATTATATCTCCCCTGCAGTGCTGTTTGTAAAGATAAAATGAAATACAATGACTCACGTTTGATCACTAGGCCAGCACAGGGTGGCTATTCCAGAGCCATCCACTTCTTTGCTCCCTTTTCTTTCTAAGCATGTCAAATTAATGGTGGCAGTGTTTTTAGCCAGCTATTTAAATGGCTACTTAATGATGCTGAAATTCACTAGACCTTTAATGCTGGGAATAAAAACGTTCATGAAAGTTATAGAGAGGGGGCCTGAATTAAAACAGGATCTGTTCTTATAACATTCCTCTCAATTTTCTGCTTTTTGGACAAGAGAAGGAAATACCATTAGCCCATGGAAAAGAAATTGTTCTGATCTCCCTCCCCCGCTTATTTTATTTATTTTAATCTAATCTAATTTAATCCGATTAAATTTAATTTTACTTTATTTTATTTTAATTTTTTGGCAGAATAGAGAACTTTAGTCAGAGCTTTAGAGAGCACAACAAATTTGCCATCTTCATTCCCTTCCCAGAGCAGACCTTGAGGTTGATGTGGGCAAATCTGATGACTGTCTTCTGTAAACCAGGGAGAAGGGGTGCAGTTGTACCGGTCAGCATGTAAAATACCATGCTGTCCATATAGAACGCGATGTGCAAAGTACCAGTGGAGCTTGACATTCAAGGCACTTTAACACCTGTTTCCATAGCTACACTGCAATCCAGACATTTGAGAGGCAGGCCTGCCTCTGCCAGGCCTGTCATCCCAGGGAAATAAATTAAGAAAACTGATGACAAGGACTGGATTATACAATTTCTTTAAAGTACAAAGTAGACCTGAAATCTAACTGGGAACGAACAGAGTTCAGACAGAATGGATAAACCCCATTTCCTGCAACCTTTGTAAGAAACTCAGAAAGCCGCCTTCTTTATACATTTTGTTCCCCAGCTCCCAGAAGCAGCATCATATGTTACACCTGGCAGTGGTATTTGTGGCACCATATTTTTCTTATTTTTAAGAGGTGATACCATATTTTTTTAAATGGAAGTTTGGAAAAAATAAACAGATGGGAAGATCCTGGGGGATGGGGGGTGGGGGGCACGGCGGAGAGAGAGAAGGAGAGAAAGATGGAGGGAGGCAAGTGCTAAAGGGCAAAGCTTTGGTACCAGACACTGTGATACTTGCATATTCACAATATGTTTCTGGCCGAGAGCACGTTTTCTGGAGTTCTGTCTGTATTTCTAGGCCTCTATATTTATCCGCGTCTCTGGCTGCATATGTAAGACTAAGTTTAGAGTCGGTGTGTTTGCTGGGTGCTTTACAGCGGTACTTGGAGAATTTCATGTTAAACAGGCCCTGGCAACAGACGGGCTGCTGTCACGCAGGAGGGGACATCGCAGAAGGAGGCAGAGCCCTGGGCTCAGCTCCGTGCATGGCACGGTGGTCAGACACAGACAGGGCCTTCCAGCATTATCTTCATCGAGTGTTTCTGAGCCAGTTCTTTTATTTTTGGATTCCCTTTCATTCCAAATGACAGCAGTTTGATAATAAAGTCAGACTATGCTCTATAGGAACAACTACCCTTTTTTGAAAGACCCTTACCAAGCCTTTGTTTTTTTTTTTAATACCACATATGTTAGGGAAATTTTGAGTTGTATAATTCTAGTGAGAAATCAAATAATGTCTGCTTGCCTGTGTCCTAGTTATTTACTTATTTATTTTGGTAGATAAGCAGGAGAGAATGTTGTTTGTGAAGGAATGAAGGTAAGGAGAGAATGAGTTAGAAGAAAGGATTACATTGCTAAGAGAATAGATCTTAAATGTTCTCACTGCAAAAAAAAGAAAGGCAATTATGTGATGTGATACAGGTGTTAATTGATTCTATGGTGGTAACCATTTTGCAATATATAAGTGTATCAAATCAATACATTGTACACCTTAAACTTATACAATTGTTGTTCTATCGCTGTTGTGTCCAACTCTTGTTGGGTCCAACTCTTTGCAACTCCATGGACTGCAGCACACCAGACTTCCCTGTCCTTCATTATCTCCCAGAGTTTACTCAACATGTCCGTTGAGTTGGTGATGCTAACTGTCTCATCCTCTGCCACTCTCTTCTCCTTTTGCCTTCTATCTTCCCAGCTTCAGGGTCTTTCCCAGTGAGTCAGCTCTTCACATCAGGTGGCCAAAATATTGGAGCTTCAGTATCAGTCCTTCCAATGAATATTCAGGGTTGATTTCCTTTAGGATTTGATTAGTTAGATCTCCTTGCTGTCCAAGGGACTCTCAAGACTCTTCTCCAGCATCACTGTTTGAAAGCATTAATTCTTTGGCACTCGGCCTTCTTTATGGTCCAGCTCTCACATCTGTACATGACTGCTGAAAAAACCACAGCTTTGACTAGATGGACCTTCATTGGCAAAGTGATGTCTTTACTTTTTAATACTCTGTCTAGGTTTGTTACAGCTTTCCTTTCAGGGAACAAGCATCTTGATTTCATGGTTGTAGTCATCGGTCCACAGTGATTTTGGAGCCCAAGAAAATAAAATCTGTCACTGCTTCCACTTTTTTCCTTTCTATTTGCCATGAAGTGATAGGACTGGATGCCATGATCTTAGTTTTTGGAATGTTGGGTTTTAAGCCAGCTTTTTCACTGTTCTCTTGCACTTTCATCAAGAGGCTCTTGAGTTCCTCTTCATTTTCTGCCATTAGAACACTAAGAAAAGTGTACAAAAGTAAAAACCAACTAGCCACAAGCTCATTCCCGTGATGACTAGTGACCACATCTCAGGGAGAGCACATATCCTTGTAATAATCCTTCTTTCTTCCCCCCAGCTTTATTGAGATGTATATCAATACATCATGCACAACATTAAGTATCTCCTATTTGTGGTGTTTTAAATCCAGTATTTTATTTAAAGCTGGATTTGCAAAGGAAAATTTGCCAGTGAGTTTGCTTCCTATTAGGTAAATTTACCTCTTTTTCCAAATTGAAAAATAAATGATGAAAATGATGCAGTAAAATTACAAACATGTGAAAAGTAAAGGAACTCATATGTTATTGGCCTGACGGGTTATGTGTATGTACTCGTGTGCATGCCACCATATCAAAGTAATCATTGTGGCAGAACATATGTGTGGGGTCCCCAAGATCAACCCTAGTTTTGATGGTTTGCTAGGAGGACTCATGGGACTCAGTATATAGTCATACTCATGGTTGTGGTTTATTACAGTGAAAGAATATCAGCAAAGGGAAAATGCACCAGAGGCAAAGTCCACAGGGGACCAGATACAAGCTTCCAAGAGTCCTTTCCTAGTAGGTCACACGATGTTCTTGGTTCCCCCAGCAGCTGTATAAAATGTTGTCTTCCAGGAAGTGCATTAGAAACAGAAAATTCCAAAGTGCCCCCAATTTTTCTTGGGCACTGGTCATGAAGGCACCCTGTTCCCACATATACCTAAATTCCAGACTCCTGGAAGGAAAGTGAGTATTCAGCATGAACCATGTTTTTTGCACAAAGAGTTTAAAGACACTGACTTGTTCTTATTAGTTAGTATGCAGGAATTCTCCCTCAATCCAAGTTCACAGATAGCAGCCGAGGGCCAACCTTGCGAGCAGCCCTTTAGGGCAGCAGTCTCAGGCTTGCTGTAATCTTTTTGTTTTGCAGTTAGGCAGAAGGCTCTGATGGTAGACTTTCCTGCAAGCCTTCAGTTCTTAGGAAGAATGGTGCTGCATTATAAGGCCGTGGACCTCCACGAGGTCAGCTCTGCGAGGAGGGGTGGTCTGGTGGGAGAAGCTGGGGTGGGTGTGGCTCACTGGGCCAGAAGCGGGCGACTCAGCCAAGTCAAGGTCTGCAGCAGCAGGAGGAAGCGGAGACCGTGTTGCCTGGGGAATCGCATCCAGAGCGTTTCCCAGAGCGAGAGAAGGGGCCTCAGACGACACCGGAGGCCAGTAGGCAGCGCAGTGACCAGGAAGAGAAGTGGTCTCTGTGGCAGCGAACATCCCAGCGTCAGCATGAGCCCAGCAGACCTCATTCCTTCAGCGGCGGGGAGCACCTGAGGCGCCCTCTCTCCTCCTGTTCTCAGAAGCTCTTTGGAAGATCAACAGCGGAATGGAAAGACTGTTAGGTCCTAGGCCATTGCTTTAAGCCAGACTGCATGCTGCATACATTTTTCTTCTGGCTAACCGGGGTGGGCACTTGAGGAACAAGCAAGATTAGATACTGAATAATAACATACATTTTCTCCTACATCATCATCATAGTATGAGTGAAACTCTATGTCTTCATTATTCTAGTAAGTTTTCTTTAATTTATGAAAAAGGATATTATAGTCTGAAATGAATTACTATTTCACTACCCCAAAGCATTTCCCCCCTTTTAGGCACCTTCCAAAAATAAGAATATGTTGTTTCTAAATAATGGTGTTTTCCAGTGTGCTCAAGATTTAAAATCTAAGGTGGATCCCAAATATTCATTATAAAACTCTTTCAAATAGCAAGCCAACTCCAATATTCTTGCCTGAGAAATCCCACAGACAGAGGAGCCTGGCAGGCTAAAGTTCCACAAAAGAGTTGGACACAACTTAGTGACTAAACAACAAAGTAAAATACATGATAGTCTTCAAAGGTGGCAGCCAACAATCTCTTGTCTCCCTATGTGGGCAAGCTGCTTCACCCATTAACAAGAGATGTCCATCTCCTTAACTCTGGGCTAGCCCTTCTGATTGCTGTGATTAATAGTACACAGCAAAAAAATCACGTAATACCAGTTCTGAGCCTAGCCCTTATGAAGCCTGATAGTTTCCGCTTTTCTCTAGGGAAGTCTGCTGCCATGTCATAAATGCAACTACCCGCAGACCTCCATGCTGTGAATATATCCATTAGATACTTGGCAAGGCCACAGGGAGGAGCCCTGCGAAGCCCCACCAACAGTAAAAAGTGAGGCCACAGACCTAGACCTGCAGTTGAACCGTCCAGCTCACTCTTAGTCATTTACATTAACTCAGCTGAGACACTGTTGCTGTCCAAATTCCTGAAAACAGATTCAGGAGCAAAGGAAATATTTATTATTTTGTTTCACTGAATTTGGGGGCAGTTTGTTTCGCAGCAGTAGATAACTGAAACACGTAAGTTAGCATTTTGTGCACTGCCAAAACTAAAAAGGTAATCTTCAAGAAAATAAACACAAACGTTCTTTGTTATCTACATGAAATAGTTTTATCTCAGACTTTTAGAGTCAAATGATGCCTACAAATAGCCTTCACATCATTTTGACATTAAAATCTGCAGCTTTTGACAGTACTAATTTGGCGGCATCAAAATTTACTGTCTGTTTCATCAAGTAGGGGGTAGCAAAAAGCATTAATATTCAGATATCATTAAGTGTTAGTCGCTCAGTTGTGTCTGAGTCTTTGTGACCCTATGGACCGTAGCCAGCCAGGCTCCTCTGTCCATGGAATTCTCCAAGCAAGAGTACTAGAATGGATTGCCATTTAAAGGTATCATTACCGATAACATTATCATTGTTTACAACATTGCCTAAGTAAACATTTTTTACTTTCTATGATAGAATTTTCTTTCAAAAATATCTCAAAGTAGGAAATTCAGATAGCACAGCCCCCATGTATCCTTCAGTTAATTCCAACAATTACCAATGTTCTGCCATTTTCTTCTGGAGATAGTCTTATGACTGTCTTTTCTCACAGGCAGCTTCCCTCCTGGACACTGCTATCTCCCTCATGGCAGAAACTGGAAAACGAGAAAGAGAAGGTAAGAGGAAGTAGAAGGGAAGGAGGAAAGTGTTGTTCCGTTGAAAACTGGAGGACTTCTATTCACATCCTAATTCTGTTCTCTTTCATCAGAAGATTTCCTTTCCACTTAGCACCTTAGTTATTGGTACATGGAGAAATACTGCCTCCAAAATTGAAATGAAGCGATCTGCCTTACTAAATTCTAGCCATAGCCATGGTTCAGGCTTTAGTAAGTGCTTCTGATATAAACACTTCCATAAACCGTTTTCTGAAAGGGTGTCCCCCTGCAGAAAAGTTTAAACACAATCTAAATGAGATTTCAAACATAGATTTACAATCGTGTCATGACAAAAGCTGCAGCTTAAAATGTTTCAGGAGTTGCTGTGGGTTTTCAACCGAGAACATGGTGTGTGTTGTACATTAGCTGTTTAATGTGTTCAGTTGTTGAATCCAGAACTGCTTGGAAGGTTTAAATGTTGGCAGCCACGAAAACAAACACTTGTTCACGTTCCCAGAGCCTAAAAGAAATGAAAGCAAACTTAATAGAAGTCAGGCTTAATCATTTTTCTTCATATGACTAATAAAGTTGTGAAAGACCAAGCTTGAGTTTTACATTGAAGGGGTTATCCTCATAATCACATCTGGGTTACAAAGCACAACCCTGTGTTTCTTCTTTGTGGTTATAAAATGGAAACCGAACTTCTATATAGTCCGTGGTCTCCACGTGTGACCTCAGTGGGCTTAATGAGAATCAGGCCAAAAGGAAATTTAATCCTCTCTCTCTCTCTCTCTCCCTCTCCTTTTTGGGAAATCTGTATCAGAGCCATGTTTGCCTTGGGGTCAGAGTTTTCTCTGGCAGTTTATGGATGCATGGAGATAGAGTGGGACAGAACAGAGCAGAAAATTGAGTGACTGTAAGTAGGTAAAATCAGAATTTGCTGATAGAAGGCTGGTCAGCATTTTGGCTGGCCTAACATTAATGGTCTTGGAAAGATTTTGTAAGGCTGAGCTGATTTGGTTTGCTACTAAAACTATGTTAGACTCTGAGTGTTGAGATGTAGGTCGTAACTATTTTATAGGTATTTTCCACTGAGGTAAAAGGCTTCTATTTATCATATGTTGCTTTACAAAGGTTGTTCTTTGAAGAATTTGATTCTCCTGGGAACACAAATAGGGCTGTGAGATACAACAGCACTTTAGGTGCCCTGTTTCCTAACAAGGGTGTGGGTGTGAAAGCATACTGCACTCAAAGAGGGAATATCTTGGTTTGTGACTAACTTGACTTTTGCAAGACCTGTTGTTAAGTAGCTAAATATACTTGGATTCATTCTACGAAGTCTAGTATCTTTCGTTGTTCAGTTGCTCAGTCGTGTCCAGCTCTTTGTGACCCCGTGGACTGTGGCACACCAGACTTCCCTGTCCTTCACTATCTCCCGGAATCTGGTCAAACCCAGGCATTATATACAAAATGGGATGATAAAATCTCTACTCTCTACCTGATAAGATTGTCTTAAAAAATGAAAAGACATCAGCTAGTGCCTTGAAATCATTTTGAAAAAGTTCAAGTCAAATATGAAGGCCTGGTTGTCTATATCCGTGTTATTTACAGCATGCCTACCTCATGCAGAGCCGAGCCTTTGAAAGAGAAGTCTCAGAGACATACCAGATACCCCTGCTAATATAAATGAGACTGTACTCCTTAAACAAATCACTTGTTCCCGAAACTAGGAAGTTAGACTAAAGTGAAATAAACACATGGATTTTATCATTATTTTTTCCTTGGCAATTGGCGTTCACTGCTAAATCAACAGATATTTGATCTTTATTCAAAGCATACGTATGCCTCGTGCACAAACCTACACACACACACACCTTTACACACTCAAACACTGGATTTCTACCAGGGGAAATATATCACCCTAAGAATTTACTCCTCCTGCTTTTGTTTTCCATTACGGCATAATGAACCACCCCAAACTGGAATAGCCTGAAACAATAACCATGTTATTGCCTATGATTCTGTGAGTGAGGAACTGTGGCGCGGTCAGCGGGGGAGGACTCAAGGTGGCCTCACTCACATGTGTGCGATTTGGTGCAGGCTGTTGGCTGGGGCCCTTCCGTCTCCTCCATACCGCTTCTCTCTCCGTGTGTTTCCTCATCTTCAGCAACTCTGTCTTCATGCAGCCTGTTCTGGAGAAGGAAGCAGGACATCTTTCCGTGATGGCTCACTTCCAAAGGGACAGAGAGAAGCTGCAAGATCTCTTAAGGCTGAGACTCAGGACCAACAGCAACGATAACCTTCCTCCTGACTTCTTGTATGAGAAAAATAAACTCCTGAATGTTGGTACTGTTCTCGTGGGGGTATTCTGTTCTGTGCTTTGGCCACAACGCTAAATGCTGGCTTATCTGGCTGTTGAGCTTGCTCTTTCCCCATCCTTCTTTGTTGTTAGCATCAAAGACAAAAGCTTTCTTGAAGCAGCCAGGAATATCACCATCTGGATGACAATTTCAGATAAGAAGAGGTGGCATCCCACCATTTTGTTTGCTTTGTTTTGGGCTAACTCCTTGTTAATAAGAAAATTTAATTAAACAGATCATCTCTGTTGCCCTGATAATGATGATTCTTGTAGGTGAATTTGGTAAGAAAGGACTGCCCCATGAATTTCAAAAAGGATGCTGTAGAGAAAGAAACAGTATGAATTAAGTGGTAACAAGCAGCATTAATATTCATGACAGCCTTCAAAAGAACCTTAAAGAAAATGGAGGTGGTCAAAGCTAATGGATTATTTTCATAAAATTTACCTCAGTAGACAGTTGTAGAGAATCAATCTGATACCAGTATGATCATAAGATTCTCATTGCACAATCTTCCTCAAATATCAGAGCTGAGAACAGGAATAAATCATATATACCTTCTTGCTTGGGTACTTGTTAGTTAAATCACATCTTAGTTGGACTGCATGAAATCTGATAGACCACAAAACAGCAGATGTGTGTATTGAAAATCAAGACAGAAATTAGCTACTTTATTGTAGTTTGTTCTGACTAACCCTCTTCCCAAGGCTTCTGAACTTCAAAAGGGATGCTAATTCATTATTAGAAAATTGATCCAAGGACATGAGAACTTGAAAAAAACAACAACAGATCACATGAAAATGTTTGGCTGTTGTCTCTGGCTTTGTGACAAAAAGCTTTCTTCCTATGACTGGCTGGCTCTGGGAGGAATCAGCTTAAGAGAAACTGTAGAGCAGGGCCCAGGAGCTAAAGAAGCCAAGTGTCACCTAAAAAGACAGTCCGGGGAGGTATTCC